TTGCATCTGATTAGTAATTCTGTATTATTTACCCTAAACCCACTTCACCTTTGGGTCCGACCTTCACCACGACCGTGTCTGTGGAGCTGCTTTCTCCTCCTAAAAATGTTATTTTCTCCCCCCCACCCCCCCACCCCCTTGGATAGTCTAATCCCTGAAATGTCCTTTTTCCAAAAGATTCCCACGTAACTTCTCCCACACGCGAGGATGACGGGCAGCCTGTTATTTATTTCTGGCTGCTTTTGCAGCCCTGCAAATGTCCATGTCTCTGGGTAACACTGTCCAGATCTCCGACAGCAGAGTCCATCCAGCCCTCAGAGGATGTTTATTGTATCGAGACCGTTCTTGCCACATAACAAAAAAAAAAAAAAAAGAAAAAAAAAAAGAAAAAAAAAGGCAGGATTTATGAAAGGTTTCTCCAGACCTCCTCTCTCCCCTCTTTTCCTGCGCTATGTGTCTATAGGAGTAAATCCGTAGACACGTGGGAAAACACGTCTGAAAAGAAATTAAGTATATATCTAATTTTTGCATTGGTTTCTTTGTATATATGGCGCGTAACGTGCAGATGGGCGTTATGCAAATCTATAAGTGCATGTGGGTGTTTACCTGGTGTATACGGACCTGGGGGAAAGTGGGGGGAGCTCTGCCAGCAGCACGTGTGCACCCAAACATACGTCTGTGCACAGACACGTGTGTACACAGACACGTGTGTACACAGGCATGTGTGTGCACAGACACATGTGTACACAGACACGTGTGTGCAGAGGCATGTGTGTGCACAGACACGTGTGTACACAGACACGTGTGTACACAGGCATGTGTGTGCACAGACACATGTGTACACAGACACGTGTGTGCAGAGGCATGTGTGTGCACAGACACGTGTGTACACAGACACGTGTGTACACAGGCATGTGTGTGCACAGACACATGTGTACACAGACACGTGTGTGCAGAGGCATGTGTGTGCACAGACACGCGTGTGCACAGACCCCAGTCTGTGCGCACAGACAGCGCAGACCCACGGGTCCCAGCGCCCCCCCCCCAACTCGGGAGGGATGGGGTGC